AAATGACCATAACCTTTAAGAAGACTCCATAAATTAGTTTTGTGTTCCAAATCAGGAAGGAATAATGGCCAGTAAGTTTTGTATATATAGCAGCCAAATAAAGTTTTACCTTGTGTTTTACTTCATGATCATGCAAAAAAAAAAAAAAAGGGAAAACTTAACTGGGAATGAAGAGGTCTCTCAAATGATCTTTGTTGTGCCAAAAGTCTATGTTGATCCACTTTTTGACTTACTTTTCATTGTGAAAGATCACTGGGGGCTACCCCCCCCAAATCTGCATCTATCATAACTCTGTGAAGAGTTACACACGTATGACATCACAGTCAGCGATGTTTCTAAGTTGCTTACCTAACATCTCAGGGCCCTTTTAAACCAATTTCAGTAATTTTCAGTACCCAAAGAGTAACTCTGAATTGTAATTTGCATATCAATCTGCCTTCATTTGTCTTTAGTATTGGAATTAAAATTATGTATATGTATAGTATTTGCCCCCATTAGCCTTCTAACCTTAAGCAATTGACATAACTTCTCTGTGTCTCAAATTCCTCATCTACAAAATGCAATAATAATAATATTGTATGTGTGTGTGTATATATATATATACAGATATATATATATATAACATTATATATGATAGGTTTGTTATGAGGATTATCTAAATTCATGTAAGAGAGTGCCTGGAAATATGCTGGGCACATAGTTATCTGTAAGTTGTTTACATTACCATCATCATTATTGTTATTAATTAATATGTTTAGAGATAGAGTATTCATATTCCACTGTAAATCTATGAAATGATAATTCTCTCATCTTAAGAAACGTGAAGTTGAGAGTGGCATATAAATTTAAGATAAAATATTGTATAAGTCACTTAAAATTATGTTCCAAAAAACAAGATTTTTTTTCCTTTAAAATAAATGCTTCCCCGCAGCGTGTTAGAGATCATAAATTACTCTGAAACACACTTTTAAATTTAGAAGAACCAATGTGCTAATAGTATCTTTATTCCTAAATAAAAGAAACTTCAAAAAATAAAAGCTCATTTTAAGGAAAAACAAGAAAACTTTGCTTTGAAATTTATTACTATCTCTACCATAGTAGATCATTGATACGCTTCTGGTTAGATCTTTAGACCTAATTGTATGTGTGCACTCATTTTCCCCTCCAACAATGACATCTGAAACTCTGTAACTCAGATTATTATTATTATTTTAAATGTTCTATTTATTTATTTGTCAGAGAGAGAGCAAAAGCAGAGAGAGCTGCAGGCAGAGGCAGAGGGAGAAGCAGGCTCCCCGCTGGGCAGGGAGCCCGATGTGGGGCTCGATCCCAGGACCCTGGGATCATGACGTGAGCCGAAGGCAGACGCTCAACCAACTGAGCCACCCAGGCGCCCCTCAGATTATTTTTTTAATAGCTCAGATTTTAACCCAAATCCTCCTATCTCTGCCTAAATTTCTCCTAGTGTGCCTCCTTATTTGGCTATGTCTGCCATCTCTTTGGTCTATCCTATCTCATATATTAGAAACTGAAAAGGGAACAATAAAAAAACAAACAAATGAACAAAAAACCTCAGGAAGTACTAGTGGGAAAAGGCCAATGTAACGTGGGGGTCTAGGTGGCCAATTCTGATCTCAGTACTAAGAATTGGGAATATATTATAGATCAGGAATAAGAGCTGTGTTACACATGACAGGCATGGTAAAATAACCATCCAATAAGACTCAGCCTAAAAGTATCCGGTTTAGCAAAAGTTTAGTAAAGAACATCAGTCATATTCACTTTATAATAGGACACTGGGCCTTTTAAAAACGCACACAGACCGGGCGCCTGGGTGGCTCAGTCGTTGGGTGTCTGCCTTCGGCTCAGGTCATGATCCCGGGGTCCTGGGATCGAGCCCCGCATCGGGCTCCCTGCTTGGTGGGGAGCCTGCTTCTCCCTCTCCCTCTCCCCCAGCTTGTGTTCCGAACCTCTCTCGCTGTCTCTGTCAAATAAATAAATAAAATCTTGAAAAAAAAACAAAAAACACACACAGACCTATGAAATAGGTACCATCCTGCACTCTTCAGGAGAACAAAAGGGGAAGTGCCAGCATCTCTTCTGGGAATTCACCAAAGAGCAGGAATGGGACATAGCCAGACAGCCAAAATATGTTCTGATTGCAGCTGAGGAAGAGGGTGCTACAGAAGACAGTACCAACAGTGCTCTAGCTTCATCCGTGTCCACGTGAAAACTGCCTTCTTCTACAAGGTCTGCCTTACAGCCCTTCTTAGTTATATACATTAGGTGGCCAATTACTTTTCCATCCCCATCTTGAGCGTGAATGTGAACACCTTATTCTGGAGTCAGTGTAATTTTGCTCCCATCCAATAAACACTATGGTTGGATTAGAGAACAAGATTAAGAGGCTGTAGCAAGGATTTTTCATTTAGGGCAAAATGATATTATCAATAATTAAAACATTTTGTCTTTCTTTTTTAGGAACAGAAGCCCAGTGAAGACCTTCTTCACTGACATAGTATATGCAGAGATGGGTAGGAGCCAGCCTGGAAGAACTGGTTCAGCAAAAGGTCTAGAAAAGTCAAAGCAAATTATAAGACCACATGGGGACAACTTTAAAACTTCAGAGGTCTATGTGATTACTATTAACAGTGTGCTACTCTAGGGAGAAAAAAGAAAACATTAGTATCACTCTTTTCTTATTTGTTTTTGTTTTTGCAAGGCGAGAAAATTAAGATTACATTAAAATGCAAAGGATGTTAAAATAGGAAGCAATCTTATCAATAAAGTTAACCTTATTAACTTTATGAAAATGACCCTATATTCTGGCCTCACTAAGACAGTCTTATTTTACACCTCTTTTTACAGTTATTATTAAATGCACCCCCTTCCACTGTTAAACATGTACTAATTAGATGCTGTCTAATATAAGTATGCTATCTAAAATGCCCTCATTTTACCAACAGGCTAAGATGTGTTTCTCCATCACTGACCAGACACACAGGTTGAATATGTGACTAATTGCTGAATTCCCAGGCTATTACTTTGTCACTTACCGTGCAATCCTATCCAAAGTACAGGACTGATTGTTCAACAGAAATAGACATATGGAACTTGTGGATTTCACTTAGAGGGCAAGAAAATGATATCACTACTCTTGAGCTGCCCTAGTCATTGCAATTTACTGGCGTGGAAAAAATGCTGTGAATGTGCGAACTGTAGTCTACTATTATCTCCAATCCAAGGGAAAATTCACTCCTCTATGAGTCCATTTTTAGCTGTATGCAGTGGGTGGACAACTAGTTGTTTCCATCCCCATCTTAGGCATGAGTGTGACCATCTTGTTTCTCGGCTCAATGTTTCCACTCACAAGTACTAGAATTAACTTGCCACGGCAAGAATTTTTCAGTTTAGAACTGAAGACTGGAATGAATAAGTTAAACCATTTTATCTATCTTCCTTAGAAACTTAAAATGCCAACCATTTTCTTTTGATTTATCTTACCAACTGATATGTATTTTAATTTTTATTTCAATTGTTCAAGCATCCAAAAAAAGTCATTTTTAAATCGTAAGTCTGGTTTCCATGAAGTCAAGACTCTATAGAAATTTGTTAATGATAATAAAATTAAATAAAAATAATAATAAAAAATAAATAAAAACCATCTTATTTCCAATTGAAAATAAAGATATAGTTCATAAAAAAAGAAGTAAAAAACATGAGCACTTATAGAAGTTTGTATATTAAAGATAATTTCTTGAACTCTCTAATATAGAAGGTATGCTATTAAATTAGGAAACTAGTTTCAAAATGCCTACAAACACTGCTAATCAATCAGTAAAACAGTATTCTAGAGAAAATTGTAGGTATTAACAACTGACACCAAATGACTGTTTTCAAAAAAATTTACTCATTCATTAATAATATAAACCAATTCACTGATGATTTCAAACATAACTCTGTCTTGTGCTTTTACCACAAAAGGGAAATATTTGTTTCTCTTTAAGAATCCTTGAAGAAACTGTTAAAGCTTTAAGAATTTATTTTTATTTGTATATATTCTGATGAGTTTTTATAATAACTTCAAAGAATAAATAAATTGGATGATATATCCACTTAGGATATATATGTGTATATATGTATGTGTGTGTGTGCCTAGCAGGACTAATCATTAATTTATACTTAACAACTTTTTTCCAAGGAAGGTAGAGTGCCTCCTATATGACACTAAATTTAAATAATAATTTAAAAGTAATTATTGTCCCTTGAGAATCATGGTAATGACTATTTTTTATAGAAAAGATAGCATTAGATGCATTATCAGTTGACTGACACACATCTAAAACTGTTTTCTAGTGAATTTGCACTGACTTAATTACAAACTATATCAGCTATCTTTCTGGTAAACAACGTATTTGCAAGATTCTTTACTAAGGTTAAGTACGTAGCCTATGATTACAAAATAAAAAGCAGGCAATTGGCCTACGTGAAACAAACCCACTTGTTTTCACTACCTCTCTCATCTGTTGAGCTGAAAGAACTAACCAACATTCTAAGTTAATATGATTATAAATTTAGAAAATGATCATAACAGAAAAACATATGGTGACATAAATAAGATCACCTTCATGAAATACATATTATCCCTTTATGTAGTTTTCATGTTTGTATCATGATTTTGCACTAGATTAGGAAATAATGAGAGTCATAGTAATTCAACAAAAGGACAGAGACTGTTAAAGAAACAAATATTTCCCTTTATTTGATTACATCTACTCACGGGACACTCAAAATAATTAAAATTCTCAATTTATAGGCCTATAAAAAATGCATTTTGACTGAAATCCAGCCAGCAAACAGCCACACACATGTGAAAAACTTACTCATGGAATTTCCACCCGTCAGTTTAGCAGCATGTAATAGTAGTTCAGAATTATCACCATGTAAGAATCAGAACGGTAACCCCCAAGCGTATTTGATCAATAATGAGTTTGCCTTACTCCTTCGCCAGCTGTACACTGGTTGGTTTTGTTCCGATAGGTATCCCGTACTTGTGCAAAGTGTTAATCAAAATCTCCCTCATGTCGTTGTTGTAGGAATCGAAGTCAAACACATTCCTAACCACACTGGAGAGACCTTCAGTGGGAAATCTCTGTATTAAAAAAAAAAATTCCCTCATGACACATGTGATTATTTATAAAACTGATAGAACAATAATGATCGAATCAACTGTAGCAGATATTTACAAGCCTTGGCAGGTAACAAGATAGGAGGAATATATACATTTTCCTTTTAATGTTTGCTCTGATAACTTAATATTTTCCTTTTCAAATAAATATTAGAATTTGAGGGGAAATAGTTCCTTCTCTCAAATGCTAAATCAGTGATCAGATGCTGTTCAGTGACTTCCACTGCCTTTAAAATGAGTAGTAGATTGACTAAATAAAAAAAATACTATTTATATAGAGCAGTGTTGAATATCTATACAGAAGTAGAGAAGTCACAGGTCTGTGAATAAATGAAAGGAAAGATAAAGGAGCAAGAAAAGAAGAGAAGAAGAACATAGAAAGTACAGTGAACAGACAAACAGGGAATAGAAGAGGGAAGAAAAATACTACTAACAGTGAGATTTACACTGGCTGGGTACTCTGGGTCCTCTATTGGCTCTGTCCTGATTTTCTTTAGGCTCTGGGGTCTGAGCTGAGCTTCTCATCGTTTAATATACAGAATGAAGTTTTTCCTTAGAAAAGCTTCCTTAGATTTTCCTTAGAGAGTTGGGGATAGATCAGAGGTCAAGAGTCATTAGGTTGTGACTTTTTGCTCAGAGACCATTATTTATTATAAAAGTAGAACTTGGCTACAAAGAACTGCATTTTCCTGTCCATTTATTCTATCTTATAGAACTTTCTTGCAGTCTTTATAGGCATATCATAAATACTGTTAGTTCCTACTGAGTTTTCTATCTCCACGTCTTTTGTTTTCAAAATGGAAATATTTTGGGGTGCCTGGGTGGCTCAGTCGTTAAGCGTCTGCCTTCAGCTCAGGTCATGACCCCAGCATCCTGGGATGGAGCCCCACATCATGCTCCCTGCTCAGCGGAAAGCCTTCTTCTCCCTCTCCCACTCCCCCTGCTTGTGTTCCTGCTCTCGCTGTGTCTGTCAAAAAAAAAGGAAATATTTCTCACTCAGATACCACATGCTTGTGGTATGAAGTCGGAGAGTGGTAAAGTTTCCCTGCTGTCTCACTCTCTAGTCTTCCCTCACCCCCCAAAAACCCCCACTGAATTTCCTAGCTCCTTGGTAATGGCCATGGCATAGAACCTTGCCTAAGTCAATTCAAACACTAAATGTAAACTGCTCGTCAGTCTTCCAGATTTAAAATTTAGATTACAAACACTTCATATTATATCATCTGAATCAGTATTATATCTTAGAAACTGAAAGACTTGGTATACATTAAGCAGTCTAAAAAAAACCAAGATTGATGGTTTCTTTCAAACCTTTATGCACAGGCATATGCCATACCTGTAAATGTTTCACTATGTTGACAACTTCTCTGGTAGAATAAGGATAGTTAATAATCCCCTGGTCAGCTAAACTCCTCAGCTCTCCAAAGGCAGCCACAAGCTTCTGAAGGATGGGTTCAGGCACATTTGGTCCATATTGCCTGAGCATTTCGAGCTCTGAATGGGGTTTGGGATTATCAACTGCATGGCAGCTAAAAATATCACCTATAGGAGAAAAGAGATTCACATTCAGCATGCAAGTAATCCATTATAATGCCATAGGAAATACAGAATGACCATTTAAAGAGTCATTGGTTGTTCACCAAAGCACTTCTACTTTTATATGTGTGAAACTGCACAAAAAGCCTGCCCAACAATAGGATCATATAGAGAAGAAAGCAAATGACTGAAGCAAAAGAAAAGGAAACTGAGTGATGTGTGGTTTATTCTTCGCAGATTTATTTCTGTTAAAAAATTATGAAATAGGGGCACCTGGGTGGCTCAGTTGTTAAGCGTCTGCCTTTGGCTCAGGTCATGATCCCAGGGTCCTGGGATCGAGCCCTGCATCTGGCTCCCTGCTCCGCGGGAAGCCTGCTTCTCCCTCTCCCACTCCCCCTGCTTGTGTTCCCTCTCTCACTGTGTCTCTCTCTGTCAAATAAATAAATAAAATGTTTTTAAAAAAATTATGAAATATTTGAATACAATCCCACTGGGAGATACTCAAATAAAAAAGCCAAAAAAGAGAAGTCTGCCCATGTCTCTGCCAATTCCACTCCCTCCCCCATTGGCACCCAGGATTAACAGTTCAGTGTATTTATTCAACTATTATGGCTACTTGTTTCACTAAATATATCTTGAGGATTGTTTTTGGTTTTTTTAATTCAGCATAGGTAAACTTACCCCATTTTTCTTAACTGCTAGATAGTATTCTATTGTCTGGATATAATAGAATTTCTTTATCTAGTCCCGTTTGGATGGACATTTGGGTTGTTTCCATTGTTTGGCTACTGTAAACAATGCTATATTGCCTATCTTTGTACTTAAATCATTGCACGGGTAATTCTCTTGAATAAATTCGCTGATATGGAATTGCTAGATCAAGAATCCCACTAGGAGACTGAGCCTGCTCCATATTGAGTATGAGAATTAATGGTATCCAGAATTACCTTCTTGCTATAGAGAAGTCCTTCTAAAAGGCTCCTGATGATGAAGCTTGTCTCAGGGCCTCTCTGATCCATGAGAATCAGTCTCCTCAGAGCTGGTCGAAACCCTCATAGTTACGGGGATGTGACAAAAACCAAACACTACAAACCATTCCTTATTTTGTGTTTTATTCTAAGAGGCCCTAAACAACAAAGTATAGTATAATTGTTTGAGAAAATAGGCTCTGGAATCAGAGAGACTTCAACATGAAGTCAAGCTCTAATACTCGTACCTAAGTGACTCCCAAAAAAAAGGATCCCTCTGAATATCCGATATTCTCCTTCTCGAAAGTGGGGATAACAAATACTCTCACGGTTGTGAGGTGGTTGTGATGATGACATAGTACACAGTAGCATGCAGTGATAGCCACTTCAGCATTGCTACTAAGACAATATTATTATTGTTATTGCTATTATTTTTGTTATTCTCTCCATTATTGTTTTTACCTAAAGTACCGAAGAAATCATTGCCTAAGAAAGGAAATCCAGGTCTGTTGGCCAAGACAATCATTCTAAAATCAGGATGAATCACAATAACGTTTTCTCTTCCATTAACATTAGCAGAATCTGAAAAACAGAATTTCTCTTTAGTCTTTATTGATATTTAATAATTCTTAAGAATATCAAGTTATAGCCTTTAAAATAATATAAGCAGTCATGCTGTTCAATCATGAAAAACTCTAAAAATCTGGTTGTCACAATTTGGTTACAGGAAAAAAACTTTCTTGAGAAAGTTTGCTTAAGAACAGATCCTGGAGTCCCAGGATCGAGTCCCGCGTTGGGCTCCTTGCTCAGCGGGGAGTCTGCTTCTCTCTCTGATCCTCTCCCCTCTCATGCTCTCTCTCACTCTCTCTCTCTCAAATAAATAAATAAAATCTTAAAAAAAAAAGAGAGAATACTGATAAAGCATATACTGAATTTTACAGGGACTTGTATTTTTATGTAAATTCAATGTACATCTAAAAAGCAAACTTGTCCAAATATTGTCTTGCAGTATTGAAACTTGGCTTGAGATGTTATTATTCCTTTAAAAAAAAAAAGATAAAGAGTCCATAATGAAGGATAATCCAAAGGATACTCAAAGGATAATCCAAACATCCTTCAGATTTCATGAGATCAGTAGTTGCATCACTTTGCCTACTGTTATGCTGCCAAGGAGTGATTCCTGTTTTAGATTTCCTACTCTGAAGCTTAAGATAGAATAAAGGCCTTTGAGCACCTAGTCAGCTCATTAGTGTAATGCCGATTTATTTCCAATTAAAGAATTCTACCTTGGTTCTTAAAATAAGTAATTGCAAGTTGACGGAAGCTTCCTTTGTGCAAATGTTTAAGGTAGTAAAGAAACTGAATATTACATTCTACTGGCTGATGTACATTTCAGATAGAACTGCTAGTCTAGACAATAATTCAGTTGGCAAAAACTTTATTGTGTGTTTTTTTGTTGTTGCTGTTTTTCTTTTTTCTTTCTTTCTTTCTTTTTTTTTTTTTAAGAAGGAACACTTGTCATCTGGGTTTATTTAAATTCCAGCCTTAGGCTGTCCATCTTTTAAAAAAGATAGCTGTGAGGCACCTGAAATTTTATTTGAGATGTGTCTGTAAGAACCTACACTTATCCTTTTTAATATAATCTTTCAAACATGTCATATATTCATGTGCTAAATACAGTAAATAGTCTTAATGTATGATCCCTGTTAATTTTAGTCGTGGTAAATAAAAGGGTATGCCTCATAGGCAAAATTTAATTAGTTAATTAAAATAACAATAAAAAATGAAAACTTAAAAAGGAAAGAAAATGGAAAACACGGCCCTAGAAGTGATACTTTAAGAAACCATGTTTAGAAGAGCCTCAGGGGCTCTTCTGTTCAAAATGTGGTGTACAATTAAATTGGAGTTTAAAAATTAGAATGACTCCTTTTCTTTTAGATTACTCTTCAAAAATGTATTAGAAAATGTAGACAGTCACCAAGAGATAATCACTCTTTAACTACAATTTTGTTTCAGCAATTCTTTCTTGTTTTCCATTCACTGTCCTCAAAATGTATCTAAAAAGGGCAGGCAGAATTCTAATCCTGAGAGTCTGAATGATCTTTCTAGTATTCGGACTGTCTAACTCAAATTCTCATTTTTCCCATAAATTCATTGTGAAGTCGACATGTTGGAATATTTTATTATTTATATTTATATTATTTATATTTTATGCTAGTTTCCTAGGCTTGGAAATGGCCATCTTCCAATGATAATGTCTAAGAAGAACCTCTCTGGTGATGCACCTGTACATTTTTAATGGGGTTTGCTTTACATATTCTCTTTGAATATTGAAGATTTTAGTTATTAGTCTCAATTTGTTTGGTTATCCTGCTATTGGCTATATATATTTTCAATAGCTAGTTACAGATGTTCATCACCCAAAAAAATTAAATTAGAAACTAGAAAATATTCTCATGTTACATCAGACAATTTGTCTTTAGGTAAAACAGACTGATGAGACTCATCAATCTACAGTTTTCCTAACAACAAGAAGAAAAATTTTAAATAAATAAATAAAAAGAAGAAGAGAGTCCAAAACAAGGATAGGGGTCTGTGTGTGTGTGTGTATGTGTGTGTGTAAATATATATATAAAATCCCTGGCAATTTTTTCTAATTATTGAGTAATAATAAATTAATTTTAATATTATAAGTCATAGAAACACGCTAGAGCTTTTAAAAAATCCAGTTAACAACAAAAGAAAATAAATTGCATAAAATAATGGAGAAATGAGTATAATGAGGATTATATAGTTGGTATTCTCAGAGTAGAAAAATATAAAGCTGATTTGTCTTAAAACTACTATGGAGATTTTCAAAGGTGTTCTCTGGCGATAAAAATGTGAAACAGACAAAGACAGATTCAGATGTATTGACTTTTATAAATGACTGTCAATACAGACAACTTCAGTTATAGTGAACTTATGCTTGTTACTTGCAGATAAGTAGTCAGCTAAGTGTGAGATTTGATACCAAAGATGTGAAATTTGCATATAATGAAAGCTTTTTTATACTCACTTGCAACAATGCGTCTTCCATCTGCTAGAATCATTTCTCCATTTTCTACTAGAGTTTTTAAAATACAGGTGACATTTGTTGGGGCTTTGTCTGCCTCATCTACCACCAGAACATGACCCAACTTTACTGCTTTAACCTTTAAAGACAGAATATTTATCATAAACAAACAAAATGAATGCAAATGTTTTAAAATTTTTATCACTCATTGCTTTGGGTTTATAATAGTAGCTAGTTTTATTTAAGTTATGGATATACTATCACAAAAAAAGTGTATAGCAGAGTTGGAAACAAAATTTACAAATCTCCACCAAACGCTTCACATTGTTACTAAACTGTTAACTCTGCAGTAATCACTTTATTTCCCTTTAGCATCATAATTTTTTTTTTTTTTTTTTTTTTTTTGCCGACTCCCCACTGAGCAGGGAGCCCAATGAGGGACTCAATCCTGGGACTCCAGGATCATGACCTGAGCTGAAGGCAGTCACTTAACCAACTGAGCCACCCAGGCGCCCTAGCATCATAATTATTCCTATGTTGGTGATGTCCGCATTTCACACCCCAGAGTAGGGGAGATTTAAAACAAGTGTAACAAATACAGAAATTAAAGTGCCATGGGAGTTAAGAAGATTGAGACATCACAATCAAAAGTGGATATTAGACCACTGCATTTGTTATGGCTCTAAAAGAATGTAGGATTTTAATAGATCAGAATGGATGGTGAGGTGTATTCAAGATAAAGGGAATCAATGGTCAAACTCAAGAAATCCTGGGGCATACTGAGGAAGGAGTGAGTATAAGTAGTCTACCTTCGCTGAAGCAGAGATTAAATGTAAGAAAAGAGAGAACAGGGTCTGAAAGGGTAGATCAGGTCTCTGCTACTAAAAACTTGATTGCCAGACTGAGAAATATGTACTTTATCTCATTAAATAATAAATTCATAAAGATTTATGAGTTCAGGCATGATCGGAATGAAGCTTGGAGCTGCACTTTAGGATGTTCTATCTGGCAGCAATACGCAAATGGACTAAAAGGGAATTACTCTAATAATTTGGTAAAAAAGTGGGTTGGGGGACCTGATTTTAGAGGAGACACGGAAAAGTGGAAATAAAAGGCATTAAACTGATCTGAAGAGTTTTTTGGAGGTATAATCTATAGTCTTGGCAACTGGTTAGATGGGAAGTAGGGAAAGGAAAAATACGAAAGAGCCCTAGGTCTTAGGTGTCTGAGTAAATGGTGACATTATGAAGAGAAACGTAAAACCTAGACTCTTAAAAACATTTTAAGAGGGTAGATAGGGGGAATGTTCAATGAATTTAAATGTAAACCCAAAGCTTAATTTTTTAATAGTAAGAAATTTCTCGTAACATAAAATAAACCATATAATAAAATTTTCTCTTTATATAGTTTTGGCAAATAATTTTAAGGAAATACAGATTGAAAAATAGATGACTCCCTCTACCACAAATATTTTATTCATATTCTAAAAAAAAGGCTGGTTAAGGGTTTTTCTTTTTAATTTTAGGGTAAAAATAAAAAGAGGGAGAAAATATATAGCTTTCTAACAATAATCCAACTTCAGCCTTCACATCTATGTTCAGGGAAAGTCAGGTCCAACCTGGGAGAATTCAGGAAGGGGATTCTAAAGACTTCAATCACTTCGAAAATCTCCGGACCACAGAGGTTCTCATGTTGGCCTGTTTGTGCCATTGATACAAAGGAACTATCCACACAGAGGGACATGCCAGCATTTCTTTGGGTCTTATGTGAGAAGGTGAAGAAGGGGTCTTTCCAGCTACCCAAAACCCGGGACTAATATTTTATTCATTAAAATCATCTAAAAAAATTCCAGAAGCATTATCTAATTTTAAACTGTACATATTTTTCAAACAGCAAATTTTTTTAAAAAAATTCTGGAATGATAAAGAAATCATTAGAGGATTTCTATCATTCCCTAAATCACTCCAAAGAGAGAACAGAATAAGAAAACATTTTCTCAATTATTTGTATTTAAATGTGCACTCCCCAAATGACATATGAATGTTTTCCAGTTAAGACTGAAATCAATCAGAATCTATGGGAGATTTACAAATCCCCCCTCAAAGGCTGAAATACAACTATCATTCAGAAAAATACAGTCGAGAATATTCATATAGTTGGATTACTAACCAAAGGTGAGTCTTCATACACAATTAGTCCATCTTGAACAGAAGGCTGAAGAGTAAGGGTTTGTACTGTGGTGTCCCTAAAGTGAAACCAAAACACTTTATAGTAAGTAAGAAAATACAATGACATGAATAAAAATATAGCACAGGAGGACTTCTTTTTAAGTTTTTGTTCACCATCCCGCTTTTCTCCAAAATGAATAATAACAAATGAAATTCCATTCAGTGACAGTATTTTGTAGGTGCAAATATAAATTACAAGGGTTTGGGAATTCATCCAGGTTTACAGATTATTCATGTTCTTTACTTCTCTTTTTCCTTCTAGGAATTTCCCTTGTGACCACTTCACTCCTCAAAATCACCTTCTGAGGATGAAGAGGAGAGATTAAAAATATATATTTGCATTGAAGAAATAATATTTATATTATTTGGAAAGAATTTTGATGGCGAGTTTGGTGATGACTGATGTGCTCATGTGGCCAATTAAGGCAATTCTGTGAATTACACATTGTGGCCCAAACTGCCATCAGTGTGTGCAAAAGCCAGACTGTCTCACCTCCCTTCCAGAACCATAGATTTTTGAACATTTCTGTTAGGATTAAGGCAATCCTTTTCGTTTTCTTAAATCTCTTTGTTAGTATGTGCCAGACCTTCCTTTAGATCAGGATATATGAATTATTAATAGTGAGCTATGACTTCCTTACATGATGAGATATGAAGTTCATATCACCTAAGAATATTTTTGCCAAAAATGTGTACAGAAGCTGCAGGTGATAAGTCTCAGGTCTAGACATGTTCAAGGGGACCAATTTTATATTTTCATCTCTACATACACTCCATCTTTAAAATAAAAAATCCTATGGCCATCTTGATGATGTCACACAGTGAATTAAATTACTTTAAAAATGTGAGTAGCATCGTTCTTTCTAAGAATTTGAAGTTGTCTTTTCAAACTACCCTATCACTTATTCAAGTAATAAGTAGAGTTATAGTTGTGTTCTTTTGAGTACCTACAATGTGTGAAACTTGGAATGTGAACCTCAGACCTTAGTGCTATAATATGCTTCTGAAACTTCTCCCTAAATGCTAACATTTATCACAACCTATTAAAGTTGTAAAATGTATATCTCTTAAAAAAAAAAAACAAATATCATATGACAATCACAAATAAAGCAAACTTGAGACATCATTCAAGTGAGTTTTTGCTTTAGCAAAACAAATTTAATCAAAATCAGTCAACTGCCTTGAGAGACAGTGGTGGGGTAGTGGAAAGAAGATTTTGTAGTCCGACCAATCAGGACTGAAATTCTAGTTCTTGTCACTTATTAGCCATCTGATCTTGGGTAAGTAATAAAACTCCCCAGGAGGCTTGGAACACCAGGAAAGTAGCTGGCACAGCGTATGGTGGAGAGAAAGAGTGTAAGTACACGTCAGCTTTGGCTATTTGATGATCTCATTCTTGCTTTTGTTGTGACTAAAAGTTCTTGCCTGTCTAATTTCCACTTGATCTTCAGGTTTTTAGTATAGTTGGTGCTTCCTAGCAATCCCCTCCTTGAAAGATCAGGTTAGGTGACCCTATTGTGTGTTCCCTTTGAGCCCTGGATCTCCCCTATTCCACCCCTAACACACTGTATTGTAATTACTTTTTATATCTTTTAATATCTTTCTACACAAGACTATAAGATTTAAGACTGTGGACCACATCTATCTGTCCCTCCTCCTGTTCCCAGCATCTAATGGATGTCTGGCTCAGAGGATGTATTTAGTAAATATTCATTGAATAAATGAATGCATGAACAAAATGACAAAAATGCTAAAAGTTAAAAATCAACACTGTAGCTTGTAGCATAACATACAGTATGTGGATTTCCAAATTTATTAGATCATGGACCAACCCCCCCTCCTTTGGTAACAGAGAATCTGGAATATAGAACCTGCTTTAGTAAATGTTGTGTTAGATTAAGGCTGACTCTCCTAGATGTAAGGAATCTTTTTTTATTAATTTATAAGTGTGTATTAGAAAGTACAGTCATGTCGAGAAGTACACTTGGGGTTGACTAGTCAAGGGACTGCCAAAGATATGGTTTATGTCCATCATGGACTCCAACTGAGTTGAATTTAGACTTACTGTTATGAGTAACTCCTCCATCAGAGTCCTCATTTACCAGGGCTTGAGCAGGTATACTGCAATACAATTATCGACATTTACAATTTCTAGACTACCCAACTTCTTTGCACCTAGCTTGAAAGGTTTCTCCCTCTAATTTGACTAAATGGCAACTGACTTCTTCAGTGAATTCCCTGGAGGTCTGGCCTATTGCTCTTCTTGACCTCTATTCCAAGCTCCCACTCTCAAGATTCTGGCCCTTATGGGTCTGATGTCTGTCCTGTGATCTACTGCTTCCTATAACCCAAGCACTATACTTTACAAAGAATTCCATATTATGCTTTCATATTGGCTAAAATTCAAATTAACGTGTGTTTGAAATAAAGCCTTGAAGATGTTAAGAAAAGTGAAAACATATTGTGACACTTCATTGGTACTTGTCACCTTTTAGTAGGTATAGAATGTTTCTTTTGCAATGTAATGATATCTAGTCATATACCCATTTTCCATATTCCTGGGTCTTATAAGTGTCCTGTAGGACACTTATGCTATCTTTTACCAAAAAGTTAATTTTTAGAGTTTTAAACAAATAAGAACAGTTTAACCAATTTCACTTCAATTCGCTATTAATATTCTAGCAATACAGAAGCGGGGGGTGGGTGAGGAAGAGAAAGAGATGTGTTCACACAGATTTTTATAGCAATATAGTGAATTTCTCACCTCATCTGTCACATATTTAATGGGCAAAAACATGACACCTTCCAGCACCAAAATGGAAAAAGGAACTCATATATCATTGTCAGTGGGAAGGAAATTCAAGCTGAATTCAAATTTTAAAAAGGCAAATATAATTGTTCTATAACACTTGAATTCAGATAGGATACAACATGCCAAATTAGATTTATCAAAAGACTTTTGTGCTAGAAATAAAAACCATAGTTTGATGGAATATGCACAAATCAGATGATTTCCAAAAAGGACTGCAAATGAGAATGAATACAAATGGAAAGCATGCCTTTCCGTGGAATAGTCTGTGAGAAAGAGGAATTTATAGGAAAAAAGTGGTTTTGTTCTGTTCTTTTTATTGATCCTCCATCCTGTACATCAAAGGAAAAGCAAAGGTTAGTAAAATATGTAAAATAATATGCAACTAGAAAAACTGTTTGGCTTATATGACAGTAAGTTTCACTGGTTATGTAAGAGGGGAAAATAACCTACTGTCTTCTGCATAGTACTTAATACAACAAGAAAAAAGCTTGTTTTTCAAGGTAACTTACAATATTATAAACTTCAACTTAGTTAAGTGATGAGGTAATCATTATTGTCACAAGTAGCATATGAACTTTTTTTTTTTCCCAAGATTTTATTTATTTATTTGACAGAGAGAGACACAGCAAGAGAGGGAACACAAGCAGGGAGAGTGGGAGAGGGAGAAGCAGGTTTCCCGCCAAGGAGGGAGCCTGATGCGGGGCTCGATCCCAGGACGCTGGGACCATGACTTGAGCCAAAGGCAGACGCTTAACGACTGAGCCACCCAGGTGCCCCTGAACTTACTCTTAAAGTCAATATAATGATTCCTTTTCAGAAAAATTGATTAAAATCATTGCTCTGTATTTAGGAGCATCTTGGATCAAAAGATATTAGTTCTCCACACAAATAGGCAATAACCCTAAAAGAATTATTTGCTACAATTTTAATTCTATTATGATTTGTTCCTCTCAAGAACAGCTTTGAAATATAAGCTCATAAAAGTTTAAATAGAGTCAATAATTTCAACAATATTGGGGAGAAGGAAATTTAAAACACACCCAAATCATATTTCCTTAGCCTAAGTTTAATAAAAAGATGGCTTTCCAGTATATAACTGTTATCCATAATGTTTGAATTAATTAGAATTTTCAGCTAATTGCTGACATAAATGTTCTCACCTCTCACTATCTTGCAGACTAAAGTTGTCTATCAATTAACACCTGTGTAGATAAAGGGGTTACTCAAAGAAATACGGTGCTAAACTCTATTCTTCTTTTAACTTTTTTTTAAAGTTTTTTCTTTTTAAATTGGAGTTATTAATGTTTTGATAGTAATTTAAAATCATTCCAGATGCAATAAAAGTAATTAGGCTGTATAAAGACCAGGTTTTTGACAAAATAAGGAAAAAGAAAATTGTCCTCTGGAAAGCAAGCCCAATCTGTTCTTGAAATGTTGCTTGTAAAGGTATATTAAGCTAGTATTTGCTAATTTACTGAGGAGCAAATGATCTCAAAATAATGATGTTTATTTTGAAAATGATATTTTAGTACGTTATGTTTAAATTGGTTATGGTTAGCTTTCTTTTAGGAAAACAATAGTAGTTAAACGTAAGAGTGAAGGAAGAAAGAAGACACCTAAGAGTTTCAAATAGCTAACAAAAATCATCTCTAACTTCACAGTTCATTAATAAAATTGGCTACAGGAAGAGACTACTTGTTAATATAAGCCAAACGTGAGAAAGGAAAGAGAGAATATGGTACATAGGAGGCACTTAACAAATATTTGCCAAATATTTTTAAAAGAGGGATGATCATGAAAATAGAAATAAAGAGTAATTTTTGCCAATAAGAGATAAGCATAACATCACTGATTGAAAAGTAAATGATGCTGAAAGATATTTTCAAGTGAAAAAGAGTTCATGGCATCATCAAGAATATCATTTCCACAGGCTTATTTTATTTTATTTTTTTAAGATTTTATTTATTTATTTGATAGAGAGAGACAGCGAGAGGGAACACAAGCAGGGGGAGTGGGAGAGGGAGAAGCAGGCTTCCTGCAGAGCAGAGATGGGGCTCCATCCCAGGACCCTGGGATCATGACCTGAGCTGAAGGCAGATGCTTGATGACTGAGCCACCCAGGTGCCCCTCCACAGGCTTATGTTAAATAATCAATGAAGGGATGCCTGGGTGGCTCAGTTGGTTAAGCGGCTGCCTTCGGCTCAG